TGCATGTCATGCACAAAATCAGTGACTCCCACCCACCCCTTCCCATGAATTTTAAGCATCATTTATTAATGGACACCAGAAATGGGCTTCACAAATTGTACCCAAGTGGGGAATCGAACCCGGTATTCGGTGTGACGAGCGAACGCTTTAACCACTAGGCTACCCCACCGCCCCTCATCATCATCATCAACTGGTTTTAACACAAATACAAAAACACGCAAAGCAAAACAAACAAATAATATTAACATTGACACGATAGAAGCATGTACAATGTGAATGCCACACCACCGACCCCCACCCCCACCCCTTAAATTTCTGTACACAGTAAGTGACAAATGCATATCATGCACAAAATCAGTGACTCCCACCCACCCTTCCCATGAATTTTAAGCATCATTTATTAATAGTACCCTCCCCAGAACAAAATGGGTGACATTCCCTTAAAATCATCATCATTATTATCACTGACTGACTGAGTATGGGTTTACGCCGTTTTTTAGCAATATACCAGCAATATCACGGCGGGGGACACCAGAAATGGGCTTCACAAATTGTACCCAAGTGGGGAATCGAACCCAGGTATTCGGCGTGACGAGCGAACGCTTTAACCACTAGGCTACCCCACCGCCCCTCATCATCATCATCAACTAACACAAATACAAAAAACACGCAAAGCAAAAACAAACAAATAATACAACACACACACGCGCGCGCGAGCGCACGCACACCAAGCCATATTTTTATGAACAGTTCCTTATCAATCTGACCGCCTCCCTGGTGTAGTGGTTAGAGCGTCCGCCCGGAGAGCGAAAGGTCGTGGGTTCCATCCCCGACCGCGTCATACCAAACGACGTTAAAATATGGTACTTGTTGGTCCCTGCCTGGCGCTCGGCATTAATGGGTACAACAAGGACTGGTCGGCTCGGAGTCAGTATACTGTGTCTGAGTGGGGTATTCATGCTTCACTGCGGCATGGTATCTCAGTGGGCTAGCACTATAAAACCAGCTTAAGTCTGGGCTAGTACAAGCAGCCGCACATACACATACACACGCATGCACGTCGTCATATGAGCGAAATATTCTAAAACCCAATTTCACCTCACCACCACCTTATCAATCTAAGCTCTCAGGAAGAAACTGTGTAAGTGACAAAGGTGCACATTAACGGGCGTCAGGTGTAGGTAACCGCCAGCATAGTCTCTCCACTCTTGCTGCTTAATGCTGTAAATACGTGACATCATGTTATCTCAATAACGTAATTTATGTTAAAGCATAAGTGTGTTCTAAGCAGTGGAGTAGCCTCTCTCTCTCTCTCTCTCAAAGTGGCGGTGGGGTAGCCTAGTGGTTAAAGCGTTGGCTCGTTACGCCGAAGATCCGGGTTCGAATCCCCACTTGGGTACAATGTGTGAAGCCCATTTCTGGTGTCCCCCGCCGTCATGTTGCTGGAATATTGCTAAAAGCGACGTAAAACCAAACTCAGTCAGTCAGTGTCTCTAATTATAGTTCAAATGAGTGAATCTATGTTTCGCAACCGTGATATTATATATATACATATATGTTGCGCTACTAGTGGTTGATTTTATATGACGAGTGACAATGGTGATGCAAGGACACGCATTCATGCAGACGGCCTCCATTTTACATAAATTCCATATATAAACGTCTTCGCCGGCTATAAAATAAACCCCAGCATGTCAGATCTGACCGAATCACTTCAAACAGGTCTGAACTCAACAGATACCGTCTAAATGATTCTAATTTCATATAAAGGAGGCTTATAAACACACCCAACCTTGAGGGTATAACGTACACTAAGACGCCAGAGGGCGCCTCAGGCACGTTTCCTTGGTGAATAAAACTAGCCTGTGTTCAGTTGCACAAACACACCACACTGTCAGGTGCAAATTACAGGTGTCGGGCACGCCCTCTCTCTGTGATTCTATGGATGAACATTGTATACGTAAAATGGGTATTTGGACGCCAAAGTGGGAGGTGGTAGAATATATACAGTTACTTCAATGACAGTCAATAAAAGAGTTGTGAAGTGAGTGAGTGAGTTGTGTTTGACGCCGCGTTTAAAAACAATATTCCTGTTATGGTCGGCAGCCTATAATGGGAGGAAAACCCAAGGTGATGGTGTCGTGAAGCATTTTCTTATTCCACAGCTGGTCGGTGGGGTAGCCTAGTGGTTAAAGCGTTCGCTCGTCACGCCGAAGACCCGGGTTCGATTCTGACATATCTAATCACTTGATTATCTGATTGACGCGGTTGTACTCCGGATTATGTACAGGCCTCGCCATATAGCTGCAATGTCGCGGGGAGCTTCGTGAAACATCAGTTCGGTTCGTGTGAGAATGAGGTGAGGTGACATGGTGTTTAACGTCGTACTCGAGAATATTTCGCTCATATGACGACGTGCATACACATACATACACACATACACACACACACACACAGACATACACATATACATACATACATATACATACATATACATACATACATACATACATACATACATACATACATACATACATACATACATACATACATACATACATACATACATACATACATACATACAAACAAACATTTGTATAGCGCCGATATCCAGTACAACTGCTTAAAGGCGCTTTGTTTTTCCCTCGATCATTGGATATCCATCACAACGGTACATCGTATTTTTCAATCTCAACTCCCTGGGGACCATACAACAGCATACTGCCTACTAGGCGCACCGAGTTAATGTGGCTTTTTCCATCCTTACGAGGTACCCATTCACAGCTGGGTGGACTGGGACACATAGTCACAGTACTTTGTCCAAGTTTACTGCACGTTGCTGTACCCGCAACTGGGTGTTTGCACGTATTCCAACGGATTCGTGGGTTCTTTTAAGTGCACAGGGTTGTGTACTGTACACTAGGGGTTGTGGCAACACTGAAAGAGTCCGCACACAAAGTTGACTCCAAGGCTTTTTACACCCGGTCACAGGTGGGCTCGATCCCGGCACCTCCAATCCAAGCTCGCTGGATTACTAGCCTGGCGCGTTAGACAGCTCGCCCACCGCGCCCGCGCATGCGTGTGTATGTGTGGCTCCTTGTACTAGCCCAGACTTCAGCTGGTTTTATAGTGCTAGCTCACTGAGATAGCAAGCCGAAGTTAAGCATGAATACCCCATTCAGACATATGTTTTTTGTATACGGACTCCGAGCAGACAAGACCTTATTGTACCCATTAAAGCCGAGCGCCAGGCAGGGGCAACAAGTACCATATTTTATCGTCCTTTGGTATGACCGGGATCGAACCCGTGATCTTCCGCTCTCCGGGCGGACGCTCTAACCACTACACCCTGGAGGCGGTCGTGTGAGAGCGAATAGTAACTTACAATACATATGTCAATAATTCAGACATGGTAATCAGTTCAGTATTTGTGACAGGGTAGCCTAGTGGTAATACTAGTGGTAAGCCTAGTAGTAATACGAAGTCCATCCATTCCTCTCATGGCTACAATGTGCGAAGCTTCTTTCTTGCGTCCACTGCCATTATAATAGTGGACTACTCCAAAAAGCAAAGCAAATACCTACTCGCTTTAACTGGTTAACTTACTTATATTCATTACCTGAAATGCTCTAAAACCAAGCACGTTTTATGGCCGACTGTCTAAATATATATGTGGGCGTTTCACATCAGAGTCGCATTAGAAAGTTTCAATATGATATGCCTCTATTTTTATGTGTCCTAGATTAACGCTTAGTCTCTTATATTTAATTTTGATAGTAACAAATAAACCCATTTAAATTGAAAAGGAGCCCAAGTGAGATGGGAACCTGGGGGAATCTAGACTTGCTTCATATAGAGCTTTTAGCATTGCAGCGATCAAGGGCAAGGCAGTAGGGAAAACAATGTGGTACAGGGACTGTGAGACAACCTATACATGTCTCCGTACAGGAGTCAGTATAAGCAGCGTCCTATCGCTTAGGCTGTCCACATGATTTTCTGTGTTTCCCATCTTCTACCAGCCCTGAATTTTCATTCCGACGTGAATTTAAAAACATACGTGTCCCAGTCTGAGGGTATTTATGCCCATTTGTGCCAAACAATACTCATGAGGGGCAGTGTGGTAGCCTAGTGGTTAAAGCGTTCGCCGAAGACCTGGGTTCGATTCCCCACGGAGGTAAAATGTGTGAAGCCCATTTCTGGTGTCCCCTGCCGTGATATTGCTGGGATATTGCTAAAAGCGGCGGAAAATTAAACTCACTCACTCACTCACCATTCGTGACAATTATATAATCCACGTGTGTGCCAGAAACACCTGTCCATTTATATTTATTTTTAGTACTGCACTTTATGGCACATGTTTTCATATTTCAAAAACAGGTAGGCTTCATATTCTTTTCATTTACATGTATTTTAAAACCCGATCTTCATTATGAATCAGTTTTACCGAGTGGTGCAAAACAAAATACATAAAATTTCATGAAATAAGGTATGCAATTTGTGAAAAACGTTTTGTTTTGTTAGCGAGCGCGTCCGCTCTCATGACAGTTGAGGCTGGATTTGAGAAACATTAAAAATTCCGGATATCCTTACACATCGTACTGAATTAATTTGCAATGACTTTGCAAGATTTGTCAGCGCGATAGGTGTTACGCTCCCCATTGTCCTGTGGATGGATCGCATTTGTAGTTTGTGTCAAACTGACATGGGATACGTAAGTGAGACCTTAACATTACACCCTACACCAGTTACTCCCCTTTTATATACAAACATGTTCCATGAAGTGTTTGACATTTATTTACTCAGGTTGGTGACAGGGGAGTCTCTCCACAAAATCGAGTGACTCACGAGGCCCTTCGAGTCACGTGATCAAAGTTGTGCGCTTCCAAAAAGAGAAAAGTAAGTTAAATTTCATATACATGCGACCTATACAACTTTTATCCAACTTACGCAACTTTGTAATAGTTCTCGCCTTAATCGTGTACAAAATTGTGAAAACTTTTCAGACAGTTCGAGAGTAGGCGATGACCGCCATCTTAGTCGATGAGAGAGGTGGAAGAGTTTGTTTGCATTTGTTGATAACGTTCAACAGGTGGTATAACTTCTAATCACAGTTTGATTTACACACTGCTACAAATCGGTAACCCTCCCAGGTGAGTTATGTACATTAGGCGCCATAAGATTGTGATATGTTGCTGTTAATATCCTTCTTCTACAGGGGTTTGTTTACAAAACGAATCCGGACACCGAGGTCTTGCAAATCATGATTTATTGTTACACAAACTCACACATTGTTGTATATAGCCATGTTTATTGTCGTTACTGACTTTATGACCGGTTGCATAACCGATTTAGTGCAGGTGTCGTGTGATATGACCAGGTCACCTGAACTGACGATGTTGTCATCTGGTCAAAATGTACTACAGAGTAAACAGAGTGAGACGCTCCTATGCAAACATACTATGGGATATACTACCGTATTACTTGTTTTCCTGTGAAAGGTTAACAACTATGCCTAAGCTATCAAATGCTTACTACACCACGTTTGACACCATTCGTGACAGGGGCAGTGGGTAGCCTAGTGGTTAAAGTGTTCGCTTGTCTCGCTGACCCAGGTTCGATCCACCCCATGGGTACAATGCGTGAAGCCCATTTCAGGTGTACCCTGCTGTGATATTGCTGGAATATTGCGCAAAGCAGTGTAAAACTAAACTCACTCACTCACTCACCATTCGTGACAATCATATAATCCATGTGTGTCAGAGGCCCAGATAAGCTGCATATTTGGGTAAAATACGCACAGAAAATTTCCAATTACGCATTGAAAAATAATTTTTGCGTACCAATTACGCATTTAAAATGTTAAGCACAAAGTTTAAAACATATGCGTACAGAATATATCTATAAAAATCACTTAAAGAAAAAGACATCGATTGGTATCAAGTTGTATTGTTAGTATAGGAAATAATTTCCATTATATTTAAGTTGGTTTTGCTTCAGTATGACATAAGGCAGTACATACCTGCTTAGTAAACTTACTCAATGACATATACTTAGGTGAGTAAAATCACTGAAATACCCACATATTTGAAAGCAGTGGGTAACGGAAAATGAAATACCCACTCAACATTCATAATACCCACTCCAAAAAAATACAGTGGGTACAGTACCCACATGAGCTAAATCTTATCTGTAGCTCTGTGTGTGAAAGAAACACCTGTCCAGTTATATCTATTTTTAGTAGTGCACGTTATGGCACATGTGTTCATGTTTCAAGTACCGTCATGTAGAGGATTGAACTCACTCTGCCAGCTTCAAGCTGAGCTTGGCTAATGAGTAATTCTAATTAGCCAACACTCTTCCACAGGAACATGTGTGCTATCACAAATAGTTTGTGCTCGTTTACCAAGTCTGTCAACACTATTGTTTATCCTTTCGCACATGCACAGTAGTCATGTTCTCAGTGAAACTCACAACTTGTTAAAACCGTATGGCTTTTCCCAAACCATGGTCATATTATTCATTAGGTGCCATGTAAGATCTATGAAGTGAAAGCCAGAGTCTGCAGTCTGCACTAATTAGCACTACAGTAATTAGCTCTGCAGTACACTGTCCCTTTAAACTGCATTCCTGCCATTTCCTTGCTATTGTAAAAGAAGACAGTTTTGGCATCTATTATTCAAGCCATTACTGTTAATTAATTAGAAAGGGACCTCCAGGGCAGTACACCATGCAGTTAACGATAAACAGAACTGCTCCGGCAATGCTATATTTCTGGGATGTCAGCACAGTGTTCGTGGTTGGGAAAAAAGCTCTGCATTCCTAAAACGCATGGCCATTGGATGCATCATCGTCATTATTTTGAAGAAGGATCAACTAAACTTTCACCCATTCAGCAAGTTTTACAGTTTCATAAAGAATTTGGGGAGGTGTGGCTCACTACACGTGACTCAAATCTCAGAACTGTGAATAACTATATAAGGCATGAATTCGTGACATATATATGGTCACACTCGGTTCGGAGTGTTGCATGCCATCTGGCGATGTCGCTATTTATAAACCTGGGGAATTCCAAGTTTTGATGACATCACCATGTCAAGAAGTACGATGTTACATTTCAGCATCATGACAAATAAGGAAATAATTTGGAATGTAACTTCCCAGAACACAAAATGCTTTACGTGCAGAACATGCAGGTAGAAAATATTGTTCGTGAAATGTAGATTTGTTTGAAACATGCATGTTCAGTTAACACGAACACTGTTCAACACATACAATTTGCCAAAATATGTTTCCAAGCAATTGGCTGGTCTGTCTCACATTCCGTGAAATTCTGCTATTCTTGATGGTTTGCTATGTTTGATCATGTATTAAGTGATGCTATCAAAAGAATATTTCCAGGAGTGTTATATATATTTATAACACCTTATATGGTCTACAAGAGACACCTGTGAAGATTCGGGTTAGAATTGATCTTCAGCAATCCATGCTTGTCGTAAGAGGCGACTAACAGGATTGGGTGGTCAGGCTCGCTGGTTTTGTTGACACATGTCATCATATCCCAATTCTGTAGGTCAATGCTCATGCTGTTGATCACTGGATTGTCTGGTCCAGACTCGATTATTTACAGATAATCGCCAGATAGCTGGAATATTGCTGAATGTGGCGTAAAACTAAACTTGTTCACTCACCCAAAAGAAGCCATGTGACTAGCCCCCATTCCACTATGTTCAAAAATTACATTTGCACCTGATTAGGAAGGCAGAGAATATGTGAAAATGCATTAACAACACATGGTAGGTATGGCAATTGTCACAAGCAGGTTTTGTCAATAATCAGAGGAGAAAACACTGAAAATAGATAATGAAGTGGTTCAGATCCTTGACCCTACCACAAGATTATTGTGAGCATCTCAAATTTTCTATTTATGTAAGTCCTAGGGCATCGGTAACTTTCCCCAACAGTTGCAGGTGGGATTCCCTATGTACGGGTCATGACATTAACTGTGCACTTCCCTTCCACTGAGTATGGACAGTGTGTACCAGGCCGTGAAGGAACATCTCTTTCTTGAACTTTCCCTGCTTACTGTGTTCAGACTTTTAGCTATCAAAGATGTTATCAAAGGCCAAAGTTAAGTTTGTATTTGGGGACAAACACTGTTGAAAAAACAAAGGACAAACGATATCATTTGTCTTGAATAGAATTCTCAGGGGTTTAGTTAGACCGGATCATAGGCCATTTTCCCCCTACAACTCTGCAGCAAATGTCACTTATACTTGCTGGATGAGGACATTTGGGTAACCAAGTGGTTAAAGCGTCTGTCCATCATACTGAAGACATGGTTTAGATTCACAACATGGTTACAATGGAAATGCCTATTTCTGATGTCAACTGTCATGATATTGATTGAATGTTGCTAAAAGTGGCATAAATTTCACTCACTCACACATTCACTCTCTCACTCACAAATTTGAAAATTTCCCTTTTCATGTTTATGCAGTTATGTATGTGAGGTGAGGTGAAATTGGGTTTAATGTCGTGCTTGAGAATATTTCGCTCATATGACGATGTGCAGGCGTGTGTATGTGTATGTGCGCCTGCTTATACTAGCCCAGACGTAAGCTGGTTTTATAGTGCTAGCCCACTGAGATACCATGGCGCAGTGAAGCATGAATACCCCACTCAGACACATTATACTGACTCCGAGCCGACCAGTCCTTGTTGTACCCATTAATGCTAAGCGCCAGGCAGGGACCAACAAGTACCATATTTTAACATGTTTTGGTATGACGTGGCCGGGGATCGAACCCGCGACCTTCCGCTCTCCGGGCGGACGCTCTAACCACTACACCACAGAGGCGGTTAGTTATGTATGTTATCATCACAATCCTGGTTATTTCTTTGTAGTGGAGTTCATGCTGTTGATCCCTGGATTGTCTGGTCCAGATCCGATTATTTACAGACCGCCGCCATGTCGCTGGAATATTGCTGAGTGCAGCGTAAAACTGAAGTCACTCACTTACTCTTTGTAGTGGTAACTTGTACATCACACTCAACTGGACAAGTGAAGAGACATTTACTACAAAGGCTTTAGTGCTTAGGCTTCCATTATTGTATGGGGCGGTGGGATAGCCTAATGGTTAAAGCGTTGGATCGTCACGCCGAAGACCCAGGTTCGAATCCCCACATGGGCACAATGTGTGAAGCCCATTTCTGGTGTCCCCCGCCGTGATGTTGCTGGAATATTGCTAAAAGTGGCGTTAAACTAAACTCAGTCAGTCAGTCAGTCCATTATTGTATTCAATACTGTGTTGAAATATCTCCAAATGTAGGGCAAATATGAGCAATTATTTCCCAATTTTCCTTCCAAAGGCACTTGGTTTAGAATTAAGTGTAAATCCCTGATCCAGATATTGAGAATAATATTTTTTGTTGGTTTACATATATCCACCAACATGAAAAATGTTAATATGAAATTTACATCAAAATAACTTTTCTAATAATTTTTGTAATACAGCCATCTCTAGTGGTATGAAGATAGATATTAAATAAGTTAACTAACACTCCAATTTATTTGGAAAAGATTAATTACAAAATATAGCATACATAGGAAAGTATCAATCACAAGTTTGGAGAAAGCGTTGATAATTAAAAGTCTCTGTCCTTTGTGCATTTATGTGGGCAACATTTATGTTTGAATGCAGTCAAGACCTTTCTGTCGTACATCTGACGTTTTAAGAATAAAATAACATTCATAAATGGATGTCAACGTCTTTATTATGATGAACATGACGTTCCCTTCACCTGATGAAGGAGTGAGACAATTGTCGTGTTCCTCATAATAAAGAAGTATTCATCCATAAATTTTCACCTTTTATGTGTATCACTTCTAAATGCCATTCAAAGAAAATTAAAGTCCATAAACCAACTGACAAAATGAGAGCTAACAGAAAATCCTCTTGTCACCAAAGACAGGACTATATCAAGCTGTTACTTAGTGTTAGCATTGAATATAATACTTATTTCAGAGCGCCAATACTGAACTGATTGTTCTAGAAAAACTATGTCTTTTAATATGTGCAGTGGTTGACACTGTGTTCTAGTGATGTTCCGATGATCGAAAATCGATCGAAGAAGGATTAAAAATGATTAT